CAGGGCTGTGGGGAACCCGAGGCCAGGGCGGGCACCGTGCCGGGGGTGCTCCGCATCCCTCCATCCATCCATCCATCCATCCATCCATCCATCCATCCATCCATCCATCCCTCCATCCATCCCTCCATCCATCCATCCATCCATCCGTCGGGCTCACAGAGCCGCTGCCTGCGGGCACTGCCAGACTTACCAGCAGACGTCCTCGGCTCTGGGGTCACCTGCCACCGCCCCCGTCCCCGCGCCCCCTCCGACCCCCCCACGGCTCCCCGGGCCCCGAGGGCTGGGGCGAGGGTGGCAGGAGGGGGTGCCCCTCCGCCCGCGGGGCTGGGGAGGGCGGGGGAAGGCTGGGGAAGACTTCTGGCTGCAGACCTTGGTCTGGCGGGTGGGTAGTGGCTGTCTGGGTGCTCTCACCACTTTGATGGGTCTCAGGGAAGTGATGCTGTCGCTTCTCCGGCTGTTGGTCCAGGAGTCCCAGCGGGGGTACTCCCCCTTCTCAAACACAAACTGCTCCCCTTTGCAGCTTGCCTGCTCGTAGCCCACCCAGCTGGAAGAGAGCAGGGCACGCGCTTTAGAGGGGGCAGAGGAGCGGGGATAGGCCGGGCCGAGCCCCAGCCGGGGCGGGAGAGGTGCCAGGGAGGGGCCAGGCGGGGCTGCGGTGCCTCCGGCCAGCAGTGGCACCTCAGGGCTTCCCGCTGTGGTGGCCGCCCATCCTCGGGCACTCGCGGGATCACCCGAATGTCCCAGCGGGGGTTGTGCTCCCACCAGCTGCCCCGTGGTTCTGAGAGCAGCACTGGGAACTCTCCAGGGGTTTTTCAGGGCTCTCCTTTGCCCGGAGAACACCCACGGGGCCAGCAGGTGGGGAGAGGGGACAAACAGGTCCCAGTCTCACCTGTCCCTGCGCCCAGAGGGAGGGAAACCAAACTGGGGGTAACGCTGTGGTCTCTGCCCACACCCATACCCACACCCCTCCACTCTCAGCCTGTCCAGGTGACAGTGCCACCCCCTGGTCACCCTCTGGGTCCCCCCGCTCACCTGCCGGCACCGGGCACTCTCTGGGGCGGGCTGGGCGAGCGGCTCGGCGGCGATGGCCGCGGGAAATCCGCGCTGCAATGCGGGTGTGGCAGCGGGGAGACCCCTCCTGGCCAGCCCCTCCCTCCCTCCCTCCCTCCCCCAGGGCCCTCACGTACGGTCCGGAGTGCACCAGGATGGAGCCCACTTTGTCCACGCCGGCTTCCTTCAGGTTGGGGCAGGCCCCGCTGAGCTCATGGCAGCGGCCCTGGAAGTTCTCCTGCTCGAAGATGGCAATCTGGAAGGGAGCAGCACCTCAGCACGGCTGTCACCTGCCCCTGCCACCTCTACGGGGGCCACACGCTGTCCCCAACACTGGGCAGCACATCTGCAGCAGCCCAGACCTCTCCCTCTCCCAAAACTGCACCCCAGAGGCTTTTAAGGAGCCTGCAGGTGGAAGCCATCCCCTGAGGATGCAGGTCTCACTCACGGGTGCCCAGGAGGCCCTGGCAGCTCTGTCCCAGTGCCCCGGTGCCCCTGGCCGAGGGATGGCCACGCTCACAGCGGGCAGCAAACAGCTCAGGGGCTCGGGCTGTGGCTGGAGCACCGCAGCCACCAGCGGGACACGGGGACCCAGACACCCGGGACAGCTCGGGGACAGCCCCGGGGCCACCAGCCCGGCACAGATCTCAGGGACCAGCGGCGCTGGGGACAGATCTATTGTTTCTGCAGCGGTGGTGGGAGATCAGCACTTGATCTGTTCCCAGCCGCTCCACCTGCCCCGAGGCTGCGGGACGCCAAAAAATTCCCGTTCCCCATCCCCGGGTCCTGCTGCAAAGGCTCAGCAGCGCTGCCGGCCGTGCTTGGCACCAGCTGCTCCCAGCAGTGCCTCCGGGTATGATTTGGGCACCCCGAGAGGCTGAGGATGCCCTGGTCCCCCCGCAGGGCTGGGCAGTGTCCCACTGACCTTGGAGCTGGCTTGCTGCTGCTTGGAGGCTGGCATTTGGTGCTCGGAAGCCATCATCAGCTGGGGTGTCTGCTGCCTTGGGAGGGAAGCTCAGCAGGTTAAAATCTGTTAAATGCCCTGTGAGGACACGCTGGGGACCCTGCTCAGAGCCCTGTGTCCATGCCCCCATCCTTATCCTGCTGTTTGCCCAGGGAAGAGGGTGGTGGGACCAGGGCTTGCAGCAGGATGGGCTCAGCCTGGAGGTACCAGGGGCAAACTCTGCTGAGGGCTGCTCAGCACCCCAAACCTCCCCAGGCCCAGAGCACAGGCAATGCTCCTTGGGACCTGCCCGGGGTCTCCAGCACAGGGAACTGTGAGCCCAGGCAATTCCTAAATCATTCCCAGTGGAGCCCAGGCCCTGTGGCCGAGCATTCCCTGCTGTCCCTGCCCAGATGGGCGTCCTGGTCCCAGGTGTGTGCTGGAAGGGGTGATGGAGAGAAGCACCCCAGAGCCAGCCCAGCCCCAGAGCCTGTGCCGAGCCCTCCTGCCCCAGCCTGGCACTGCCACTCCCGGGAAGGAGCCCCGTCCTCAAGCCCAGAGGGACCCTCAGTATCTGAGCAGCTCCAAATCGGGTGAAAACTCATTCCTGACACAAAGAACCGGAGCCGTGGCCGGGTGGGATGCCCTGCTTTGGGCTGCGGGGACGGGGCTGTCCCCGGCTCGGGCACCGGGAAGGGACCCCGGCCCCGGGGGTCGGCAGGAGGCTACGGCAAAAGAGAGGACAATAAATAGCAAAGTCTTACCAGTTATACCAGTACCCGCTTGAGCCAGTGACGGGCCGGGGCCGGGAGGTGGAATTTATACCGAGCCGCAGCAGAGAGGTGCCAAAACTATTTACAAAATAGTTAAAGCCCGATTCAAAGCGAGAATGCTGGATTAAACCCCAATGAAAACCAGGGTCAGCTGATCCGCCGCAGCCTTTGTCTGCCCGAGCACCAAGCCCGAGTTATTTCATTACCTGTCACATTCGAGTCACCCGCTTTGTCGGCTTGGTGGCGAGGAGATTTGGACTTTGCAAGCATCAGCCGAACGCGTGCCAAGAGCCGGGGCGGGCCGGGCCAACAAAGCCCCGCCAGCCCCGCTCCGGGGCCAGGGCCCTGATCCCCCCGCCAGCCCGGCAGCCGCCAGCGGGGCTGCTGAGCTCGGCTCTTTCCATGCGAGATAAAACGCCCCAAAGCGCTGGGCAGCGTCTGGCTCTGCCCGTCTGCAGCGGCCCGGGGCTGTGCCAGCACCGGGGGCACCGCGGGAGCCCCTTCCCGACAGCGGCCCGGGGCGCCGGGGACAGGCAGGGGCTGGGGCTGCTCTGCCTTGCAAAGCTGTGGGGCCACCTTGGCCCCTCTGGCCCTGATACTCCATCACCTGCAGTGGGGCAGCTCAGGCTTGGGTGTTGGGCTCCTTTGGGAGAAGGAGAAGCACCCCAGGGGTCCCTCGGTGACACTGGGACAAAGCTGAGGTCACAAAGGGCTCACACGTCCCCGCGGGATGTGGCTGGATGGGCAGCACAGGGCTGGGGGTGAGGGCAGCAGTGCAAGCCCCCTGTGCTGAGCCAGGGGCTGCACGGGGCTGGGGCTGCAGCAAAGGAGGTTTCACAGAGAGGGGACACTGCTGCTGTGCAGCACCCACAGCCCCCTTCACCCCACAGAGGAGCTGGGTCCCCCCTGTCACCCCAGCAAGCGTCACCCAGCATGAACAGACCCACACCTGCCCCACACAGCACCTCCCATGGCAGGGGAGGGGCTGCAGCCCCCCAGGGTCACCCCTGCCCCATGGCCTAGCCCAGGATGGTTGCACAGAGTCACCCCCAGGGTGCTGTCACCAGAGCCCACCCTGGCAGTGACGGGTGTGGGGCCAATCCCTGGGCTCTGCAGCTGCCCCAGCTCCAGGTGATGGAGTTTCCAGGGCCAGAGGGGCCAAGGTGACCTTGCAGCTCTGCGAGGAACCCATCAGGCCATGGACAGGCCAGGGTGTGGTCCAGAGCTTCCAGCATTCCCAGCCCTGGAGCCCTCCTTTCTTGCTTGTGTCTCCTGCTGCAGCCCCACAGATGGACCCAGCACTGCCCTCCCCTTCTCCTGGCTTAATCCATTCAGTCAGTCCCAAGCCCTGGACCCTCATGGATCTGTCCCAGGTCCCAGTGCAGCCCTGCAGCCACATCCCATCCCCTCAGCAGCTCAGCATGGCCCCAGTGATCCCCTCCCTTGGCTGGGCTGGTTTAGCTCATCCCAGCCCTGGCTGTGGCAGCCCCAGGGACTGTTCTGGAAGCAGCCTCTGCCTCTGGGGGCCAGGCCCTTGCCTTCCACAGCCACCAACCCCTCTCCAAAGGGAAAAGCTCCTGGGGGGTTGCTCAGGGACCTGCACAAAGCCCTCAGGGGGACTCAAGCCCATCTCCCATCTCTGCTCCAGCCCAGAGTGTCCCCAAGCGTGGCCCCTGGGGAAGGGCAGTGCCAGGGCAGCTCAGTGTCCCACCAGCACCCTGTGGCACCCCTGAACCCCCCCCTCTGCCCCTAGGACAGCCCCCCCATGGCAGAGCTCATTCCCGTGGGAGAAACCACCCCAGGACTGTGGGAAACTTCCCTGGGGACAGGCTGGAGCCCCTGCAGGACGCTGAGGCTGGGCACAGCCATCCCAGCACGGGATGAGCACAGGGCCTGGCACCACCCAGGGATGGCAACTCCACATCCCCCCGGCGCCCTCCCTGCCCTGGGACTGGCCAGCAGCCCTGGGAGCGGGCAGGAGCCGCTGTGAAAAGGGACAGAGCTGCTGGAAAAACCCTGACACGGCAGCACCGGGGGTTGTTTTAGGAAAGCTGCAGCCTTTATGTAACACTGCAAACACTGGCACTCCCCCCTCTGCCCTGTTCGGGGTTTGCTGGGCACGGCCCCATCCCCGTCCCCATCCCCGTCCCCATCCCCATCCCCATCCCCATCCCCATCCCCATCCCCATCCCCTCCCCTCCCTCAGCCCCAGGACCAGGCAGGCCCCGGCAGGCTCCAGCTCAGAGCTTTATTGAGGTTTTTGCACAAAGAGAACACCACGGTCACGGCAGCAGCAGCGGGGGGAGCCCTGGAGCGGCCCCGGCGGGCTCGGGCCCCCTCAGCTGTTCTCGAAGGAGCCCCGCTGGTGCCACTGCTGGTCCCGCACGCGGCGCACGGACTGGATCAGGGGCTGGTTGGCGTCCCACTCGTTCCAGTGCCGGTACTCGCCCTTCTCAAAGACGTGCTGGCGGCCCCGGTACCCGGGGTACTCGTAGCCCACCCACCTGTGGGGATCAGGGCAGTGCTCAGCAGTGCCCACCCCACACCCACACAGCCCCCAGAGCAGGGGCAGTGTCCCCATCCCTGTCCCAGTGTCCTCATCCCCATCCCAGTGTCCCCATCCCTGTCCCAGTGTCCTCATCCCCATCCCAGTGTCCCCATCCCCGTCCCAGTGTCCTCATCCCCATCCCTGTCTCAGTGTGCCCATCCCCATCCCAGTGTCCCCATTCCCATCCCATTGCCCCCATCCCCATCCCACTGCCCCCATCCCTGTGTCCCCATTCCAGTGTCCCCATCCCAGTCTCAGTGTCCCCATCCCCATCCCAGTGCCCCTGTCCCCGTCCCCATCCCAGTGCCCCTGTTCCCATCCTAGTGCCCCCATCCCAGTGTCCTCATCCCAGTGTCCCCATCCCTGCCTGCCACAGCCAGGTGATGCTGCCCAAGGCCACTCCTGTGTCACCAAGTGCCACAGCACAGGCTGCAGTGCCCAGGTGGGAAATGCTGTGTGCCAGGAGGGGATGGAGAGTTCATGGAGAAGGTACCACAGCTCAGGTGGTGGGTTAGGGCAGGGAGCCATCATCCAGCCCCAGCGACATTGCCATGGTGCCTGTTACTCCTTGTGGGCCAGGGAAAAGGTGGCAGCAGGGAGGGGACAAGGGACACGATGGGCACGAGCAGCACCATGGGAGCAGAACCACGGCCCCTGCCACCACCCTGGGGAGACCAACCAGAGTGCCAGGGGCAGGAAGCTGTTGGGGTGCCCCCTGTGTGCCCATCCTTACGTTCCATTCAGGGCCTTGACGCTGGCCACCCGGTCCTGGAAGCCGTGGGCCCACAGGCTGGGCACATCGTCATCCACGATCTCCATCTTGCGCCCGGTGTAGCCCGCGTTCTCAAACAGGTGGATCTTGTGGTCAGCGCTGTCCTGGGGGAAAGGGCGGCTCAGGGGCTGTCCCCTGGTGGTCCCCAGCACTGTGGCCACCCCAGCACAGCCCCACTCACAATCTGGAGGGGCCGGATGGACATCAGGCTGTCGCTGCTGTGGCTGTTGGACCACGAGTCCCAGCGGGGGTAGTCGCCCTTCTCCAGCACGAACTGCTCCCCAGCATAGGCCTGGCGCTCGAAGCCCAGCCACCTGCAGGAGCCCAGGGTCAGGGGGATGCTCTCCCTGCCACCCCTGGGGCTGCTCCACCTTCCCCACCCCAGACTTACGGGCCAGACTCCACCTGGATGGAGCCCACCTTCTCCATCTCCTTCTCGGTGATGTTGGGCAGCTCCTCTGTCAGCTCACATCTTTTCCCCTGGAAATTCTCCAGCTCGTAGATTGTAATCTAAGGTGGGGAGAGACCCTGTCAGCCACCACAGCAGGGGAACACCCTAGGAAATGGGGGCAGCAGTGATCAAAGGGCTCTGGAAGTGTCCCTCCATCCCGGCCGTCCTGTGCCAATGTCACTCCTTGCCCGGCAGAGCTGGGTCCTGCCAGTGCCTCTGACAGAGCTCCAGCCAAGGGTGTGTGCTCCAGCACAAGCTGGAATTCTGTCCATGACAGGCTGAAAAACAGCTCAAACACAGCACTGGAAACTTGAAAGGTTTGGGCTAAGAGAATTCCTGAGCCATGGGCTGCCTCTCCTACCCCCAGCCTGGTCATTGCTCATTATCATTTCCTTATCACTGCTCCCTCCAGATCCAACCATCCCCTTGCCCTGGCCTGGCACGAGCTCTTTATTCAGTGTTTCCTTCTGAGCCCTGCCAGGTGCAGAGACCCCAGTGCCTCCCCAGGCTGCCCTGCTCTCAGCTGAGCTGCAGGATGGGCTGGAGCCAATCCCAGTGGCCAGAGCATGGCATGGGGCAGGGCCAGGGTGCCCAGCACCATTCAGGGACCAGGAGGGTCAGTGGGGTGACCAGGCACCCCCTGTCACTGCCACAAAGGGGTCCCAGCTGCAACACCTGAGTCTGGGACAAGGGCAGAGCCTCCTACACACATCACATAATGGGGGGCTCAAGGGACAGAGGTGACACCCAGCTTCCTCAGGAGCCTCTGTGCACCCCAAAGCAATCAACAGCCCCAGCTCCTGGCACTCCTCTCCCACTGGCAGGATCTGCTCCCACCTCCAGCCTTCCCTTATCCAGGAGCAGCTTTGTGGGAAGCTCTGCACCTACCACATCCTGCCCAGCTGATTTACCTTCAACCAACATATGAGCTGAACCCCAACCTGCAAACACAGCTGGGGAGGGCTGAGCTGAACCCCAACCTGCAAACACACCTGGGGAGGGCTGAGCTGAATCCCAACCTACAAACACACCTGGGGAGGGCTGAGCTGAATCCCAACCTGCAAACACACCTGGGGAGGGCTGAGCTGAATCCCAACCTGCAAACACACCTGGGGAGGGCTGAGCTGAATCCCAACCTGCAAACACACCTGGGGAGGGCTGAGCTGAATCCCAACCTGCAAACACACCTGGGGAGGGCTGAGCTGAATCCCAACCTACAAATACACCTGGGGAGTTTCAGTGCCTGGGCCCACAGCTGATCCTGCTGTGCTGGGATGCTTCATCTCCTGGATTAAACCCCTGGGCAGCTGCACAGCAGCCTGGCCAGCCAATGTCCTTGGCAGCCACGCAGGCAGGGAGCAGTGTCCCTCCTGCAGGCAGCAGCAGCAGCAGATCCCCAGCCCCAGCTGCTTCCCAGCCTGCAGCCCCCCAGGCTCAGCACCAGAGCAGGGCCACCACCCACTGCTGCTGTGGGAGAGCTGGAGGCCACTCCTGTCCCCAGCACTGGTTCCAGCCTGGCATCCCATAGCTCCACCCAACATCCAGCTGTCCCCAGTTGTCCCCAGTATAGCCCAGTATACCTTGTAGGTGCCACCTCGCTCGCCAGCACCCTCCCCAGTCGCCATCTGCTCGGGGGGACTTTGCTGCTCAGTCATTGTGCCTGGAAAACCCAAATTGCAGGAGGTTAAGGCGGAGGGACCAGGATTTACAGCTGATAATGAAACACAGAGGATGAAGCTGGCACAGAACAGGCAGCAGGGGTTAGCACAGACCCCAGTGCATAAATCCCCAGGGATGTCCAAGCTCTGTTATCCATCCTCCTCTCCCTCCTGCACACAGGTCCCAAATCCTCACCCAGGCACCCAAAGGACTGGACTGAGCCACATCCCAAGGGACACAGAGCCCTCTGCCCAGGGCAGCTCACCCAGTTGCCACTGAGCTCCCATCTCACAGCCCCACCTTTGTTCCCAGCAGGAATTTCTCAGCTTCCAGCTGCTGACATCTTTCCCCACAACATAAACCTGACACCTCTCCCTTGCTCCAGCATCCCAGGGGACACCAAACCCGGCAGCTGGAGCTGCTGTGCTGCCTCAGCCAGGGAGGGGATGGCAGTGAGAGCCCCCTCTTCACTCTCCAGGAACATCCATGAAACTCTGCTCCAACATTGGAACACGCCACGCCAACGAGGGGCTTAAGAGACGAATAAAGGAGCTTGATAACATCCTGAATCAAACCCTGCAGCTTCACTTCTCGCCAAACCCCGTGCGTCTGACTCAGACTCAGACAACACCAACTCTTTGTGGAGGCCCATTTGCAGTCCCAGCAGCGCTAACCTGTCCGTGTGGTTCCGCTGTGCCGGGCGGCGCGGGCGGCCCCGCTATTTATGGGGTTGCTTCTGACCAGAGCAGCAGAATTCGCCAGGCGGGCGCTGATGCAGCAGCTGCGTCCACGGAATTCCAGCCATGAGATCGCGGCTCAATAGCGCGGGGAGCGCGGGCGGGCCATGGAAACGCCACCCCGAGCTCTCCCGGCCATCCCTCGCACGCGGGCCGCTCGGTGGACAGCAGATTAGCGGCCAAACTCACATCAGCACGTTCACGCTGCTTCTTGCCAGCTTCTCTGGAAAACTCTGCCATCAGCAGTTCGCCAGGCAGGGTTTAGCCTGGAAACGGAGCGCAGCACGAAGCAAAAACCGGGCAAAATGGCCCCAATCGTGAGGGCTCCGCGCAAGGTGGGACACCCAGGTTCCTCAGGAGCCTCTGTGCACCCCAAAGCAATCAACAGCCCCAGCTCCTGGCAGCCCTCTCCCACTGGCAGCATCTCCAGCCTCCCTTATCCAGGAGTAGCTTTGTGGGAAGCTCTGCACCCACCGCATCCTGCCCAGCTGATTTACCTTCAACCAACCAACCAAGCTGAATCCCAACCTACAAACACACCTGGGGAGGGCTGAGCTGAATCCCAACCTACAAACACACCTGGGGAGGGCTGAGCTGAATCCCAACCTACAAACACACCTGGGGAGGGCTGAGCTGAATCCCAACCTACAAGCACACCTGGGGAGGGCTGAGCTGAATCCCAACCTACAAACACACCTGGGGAGGGCTGAGCTGAATCCCTACCTGCAAACACACCTGGGGAGGGTTGAGCTGAATCCCAACCTACAAAACACCCCTGGGAAAGTTTTAGCCTGGAAACTGAGAGCAGCACGAAGCAAAAACCGGGCAAAATGGCCCCATTTGTGAGGGCTCCATGGAAGGTAGGACACTCAGGTTCCTCAGGAGCCTCTGCAATAAACAGCCCCAGCTCCTGGCACTCCTCTCCCACTGGCAGGATCTGCTCCCACCTCCAGCCTTCCCTTATCCAGGTAACTCTGCACCCATTGCACCCTCTCCAGCTGATTTACCTTCAACCAAACGAGCTGAATCCCAACCTACAAACACACCTGGGGAAGGTTTAGCCTGGAAACTGAGAGCAGCACGAAGCAAAACCCAGGTAAAATGTCTCTGTTTGTGAGGGCTCCGTGCAAGGTGTGATGCAATGCTGGGGTCAGCTCTGGGAGCTCAGCTGGAGTAGCTCAGCATTTCCAGAGTGGTGTTCTTGCTGGAACTTTGGCCCTAAGCAGGTTCTCTCCATAGAGTTCCATTTCTTTGTCTGCCCCCAGTCTGGCTCCCTGCCCAGCATTTCCCAGGAACAGGGTGGGAACACATCCTGGGGTGTGTGATGAGGCATTTCTGGAGCCTGGCACAAGGGTTTGTGCATCTTCACATGCACAGGGTGATGGTAAGGCATCAAACTGGGAGCACTTCACACCAGGCACCAAACTGGGAACATTTCACTCTGCTGGTAGCAGGCCTGATTCCCTCTTCACCTCTGAGAGTCCCCTCAGACCCAAACCATCCTGATTCCTCAGGGAACATTTTATTCAGCTGCACATATCCCCATTTACTACGGCCCTTGCAGGTTTTTCTACCTGCTCTCAGTGTGGCTCATCTTGAAACCAACCTGCTAAATCTTAACTGAAATTGCCAGAAAAGTGAATGCACAAACTGAATGGGAGAGGGATGGAAACCTCTCCTATCGTATGTGTTAGAATGAGGCCCCTCAGCCCCATCCCATCCCTGGCCTTGCTGGGTGATGCTCCAGGCCTGGTGTGACAGGGATGACCCAGGTGTCTCCAACTGACCCTTCCTCACTCTGCCCATCCGTGGCTCCTGATGAAGATTTGCTGTCCCCATCAGAGCTGTGCCACAGCTCCAACAGGCACAGTCTGAGGAGGAATGGATTCATTTCTGTCTCACCAAGCACAACATCAGCTGCCCCCAACAAATGAGAAACACAGAATTTCCTGTGCTGGTCCCTTCCTTCCCAGCAGCCTCATTCACCGAGCTCTGCCACAGCCTCAGGGCCCTGGATCTGCCTCTCCCAGCTCTCCACACTGTCAAGGCAATTCCAAAAACATGACAGAAGGGGCACTGGATCTCCTTGATGCCTCTCCCAAACAGACCTCAATTTCCTCTCACTGTCAGCCTCTTAAATCCCTTTGAAAAATGACTGCTGGAAAATAGATTTTTTTTCTTTTTGTTAATACCTGGCAAAGCTAAATTGGAACTGTAATGGTGCAGAACAAAATAGAGCAGCCAGAGTATCTTTATTCCCTAGGAAACTGTCTAACACAAAATATAGGATTTCTATCACACTTATCTATGTGATTTCTATCTATGTATTTATTGGGACCCAGATTGACAGACTCTATAGGGCTATGTGGAGCAACATAAAAGCTTTATCTCCACAAGAGCTCCTTCAAAACAGATTTGATACCATTTTATTTAATATGGAATGAGAAAAAACCATAAACCACCAGACCTTGGCTTTCCTCCTCTACCAACCCCACCAGAAGTTATTCCAGATTATATTTTTGCAATACATTTATATTTGAGTGAAGAGGACAGGTATGGAACAGCTCACCACCAGCTGGGGAAGGATCCCCACCCTCCACTCTCTCCACTCCCAGGGCGAGCAGAACTAGGCCTGGACTCTGCAGGCCCTGCCAGAACACCCCAAATCCCTTTAAAGATCCACAGAAGTGGTTTCATAGAATCACAGGATTATTTGGGTTGGAAGGAACCTCAAAGCTCATCTCATTCTGCCTCCCTGCTCCCCCAACCTTCCACTAGACCAGGTTGCTACAAACCCTGTCCAACCTGGCCTCAAAAGCCTTCACCTCCTGAAAGTCCATTTTTAAAAGGAATTAAAGCAAATACCTGTTTTTCCTTCTCAGCACTGGGCTGAAGGGATGGATCCAACACTTCCCTCACTTGGCTGCAGCTGCTCTTGCTCCAGTGTCCTTCAGGGAGGTGCTGACAGGGAGCAGTTATGGTGACAGCTCTGGATTTCCCTGGAATAGTTTGTTTTACCCCCAGAGCTGGCTTGGGGACAGCAGTGACAGCTCTGGGAACTCACCCCAGAGGTTCTGAACCTGGACACACCTCGTGAGGCAGAGCAGCACCCCAGAACTGCCCACCTGCCCCTGAAACACACCACCCCTGCAGAAATCTGGGATTTGCTGCTCCAAACCTGCTACAGGTCACACTTTGTATTCCCAAATCTGCCCCACGTGCGTTTCAGTTTGCAAACAAGGAACAGGGTGAAACAAACTGCTGTGGGAGTGGAAAGGGGATGGTGTGTGGGGGTTAAGTCCTATGGAATAAAGTTTGGGGATGTCAAAGGTTGGAAAACCAAGCACTGCTCCTTTCTCTGCAGGAAGCGAAAGGCTCTGGTGGATGAGGAACAAATTGAAGATTCACAGGTGTTAAAAAGGTGAATTTGCAAACAGAAAAATAAAAAGGGAGAAATCCACAATTGGTAATTCCAATAAAAAGCAGTGGAGTAGCTGTGCAGGTCCCTGACACAACACCTGCAGCAGGGATTGCTGGGGATCACGAGAGGAGGGCAGTCAGAAAGTGTTCCTGAATTCCACAAAACACATCCCCCCACCTTTAAAACCCAATATTGATGTGGCTTTTTAAGCAAGCAGAAACAGCTGAGGAGCTGTGAGGGGAGAGATAAAGGAAATTACAGGACCTCCATCACCTTCAGCATCACTTTTTGGACAAGAGCTAAACCTGCTCCAGGGCAGGATCCAGGAGTGGAGAAAGCAGCACATCTGAAGGAACCTTAGAGCTCACTTCCATCTCCAATAAACAGCAGGAAAAAGCACATGGCAACAAAAGTGAAAGCACAAAAAATTCCAAGAAGCATTATTTGGAATTAAAATAGAATTATATAAAGTGTATTACAGTCTGTTCTATCATTTAAGAAGTAATAACATATTTATATATCTTTTATTACAGAGCAATAACCCGAAGAGAAGTCGATATTTAATCCATGTACAATATAAAGAAATAACAGAGCAGAAAAAAACACTTTCCCATTCAACAACATTCTAAAGATGCTCTTTAATTAGACATTTAAGCATTAAACACTTCTCAGTAGTAGGTTAAACTACTCAATACAGTAATTTCAGTGCATTGTCCAAGCAGATGTGGAAATGCAAACACATTCAAGGGCTGTGTGGAAACCTCGTGTCAATCCCCTCAGTTTCCTCAACACAAACAGTTACAGAATTTCTGGCCTAGACCAAGAACCAGTAAATCCTCCAACTGCAGGGAACACAACACTGTCACCTGTGGAAGTGGAAAATGCAGCCTGTGGGGATGTTCCTGTGAGCAGGGACTGATTTCTGGACATGGGAGGCCCTACCTGCTGTGAGTGAGAACAGCCACCATCCTCCTCCTCACCTGCACCTGCTGCTCAGGCTGCCCCAGGTGAGTGTCACACACCGTGGAACCCTTGGGTGCTGCCACAGGAATATACCCCAAAAAAACCACACCAAGAGTCACCTTTTCCACCATCACCTAAAGGAGAGGGAAGGAAATCTGTGCAAGGTTTGAAAAGGAGCTGGGCAATGGTGGTGGCTGCACCGACACGGCCCATCCCAAAAATTCCATCAGAATCCTGGGCAGCACTGCTCTGTGTGGAAGCAGAGGGGTTGCCAAACTAACACTGGCAACAGCTCCCATGAGAAACAGAGCAAAGCAACAGGGGAAGAAGACTTTTACATCAGACAGACGTCTCCATCTCATCTCCAGGGAGCACAGGGAGCTGCCACCGGAATAAACCCGGGAGCGAGAGATGTGCAGATGGGACTTGTCTCCTGCCATCCTGCTGCTATTTCATCCTGCTGCTATTTCCTGCAGACTGGGACTGCAAATCCCCCCCTGTGACTCCTCCATGAGGTGAATTGGCACATGGTTTTGGCAGCTCCAAGCCTGACAGACACTGGCCTGGGCAGGCCCCATGGGAGCCGCGCTCCCGAAATGCTGATTGGGAAAAAAAAAAAAAAGACAAAAAGGAAAAGGAGCTGAAGTGCTGGTGCTTTATGGTTTGTATCCAGAGGAGCCCCTCAGCAGGACGTGGGGAGTGCAGCCCAAGGAGCTCTGCCAGGTGAGGAGAGC